TGCAGTTTCCCGTGCTCAGTATTGCCAGAATATATTTTTGTACGTACCAGATTTGTCTAAAAAATGTACTAGATTTTGTCAAATGTACCTGATTTTCGAATGAATTGTGATGTGGTTTGGTTCATTAAGGAAAATAAAAAGGGTTTTTAGCGAACGAAAACAAAACGAGGAGCAAGATCCCAAAAATATATTTTACACGCGTCAAATGAGGTTCTTTCGTTTGTCCCACTAGTGAGGAAATGAACTACACCAACGCACACCATACTTTTCGTTTGGCCCGGTGTAAAATCATAGATATATAACCAAGACAGATAGGATTATTTACAAAATTTTTGAAGAATGAACGGTGGTGTCCGCGGTAGAAACTCAATAATCGGATTGAACATTGATGCCAAGTTTACGTGCTTTGAACTATAGATATATATAACCAATACAGATTACACAATTTCTGAAGTAAACGCGGATGATCCTCGACAGAAATGCAATATTTGGATAAAATTAAAATATTGATGCCAAGATTGCGATGTTTTTAACTGTAGTAATGTTATTGCGTTTGCTTGAATTACTGTTAGGTCTTTAAATTGTAAAAAAAAAATAATGTCTGACAACAGCGGAAGTAGAGTAGACCGCAATTGTGGAGGCTCGTATATTGTTTCATTCATAAAAATTCATTCGATACAGTACTAGTCCAGGAGCCAGTGAATTTTTTCGTACTTGTTTTCCCGGTCCGTGTATATTTAAATAATCTATTCCCGGTGAACTGTATATTTAGAATGTAACGCCAATCTATTAACAAAAGTAAGCCAGATTGAATTCGCGCATTACGTCACATCGATACAAGTGAGATTGTTTACAAAGTGCCTTTGCGGGCCTATTTTGCCCATTTCATGTATTTGTTTTTAAATCATCTTAAATTACTATTTTTGAAACTCAACAAGGAGAAAATCCAATTAACTCTTCCGTTGTGTATATACATAAGATAAATTAACTGAAGTTTTATCAGTAAAGTATTAATACTAAAATTTTAATGAAATTTACAGAAAATAGCTAGGTATGTATTTGTTTTTAAATAATTTGATAATTTATGAAAAAAGGGAGTAAAAGTGGAATGACCAGTGGCCAGTAGGTCAGTCAATACAAAGTATCATATATTTCTATTATAACATAACTAAAATACCTACATCTTTTAATCATAAGGACATAAGTTAAAAACCATTTTAATATATGCATTAGAATGAAGTAATAATAACTTAAAGAGACGAGGTCTTAAAGTAATAGCTGGTACAGCATGTTTTTTAAACGTTTCCTCATTGCTGCTAGAATGAAATCACTTACTATGAAATGTGCTCTAAAAACGGCATTTATAGCAGTCAGTGTTCAGTCTTAAGATCTCTTTCTAAAGCCCTCATCCAAGCTGCATACATATTAAAAAATAATTAAAAAAAAAAACATATTATATACCTATATAGTTTTCGGTTCTGGGTGCCCTAAAAGAGGACACTTAGCCGACAATTTGGCTCAGATAGCTAAAACCCAAAAGTCACACCCCGAACCAGGACGTATTGCTATCCTTTTAAGTAAAAAATAACTACAAATAACTTACCTGAAAAATGAAGGCGTCTAACTTTACACCAAAAAAACCATACACTTTTTCCCATTGTTGCAAGCACCCGATGACGATTAGGTAGATATCAACTAGAAGCATGTACTTAATGGTTATAAAGCTTATTTTAACACAAAAAGTATAAAGCACTAGTCGAAAAGCAGCAATCAAATATGAATAGACCACAATATTAAAATTCAAATTAAAAACTATATAAAAGACAAATACTCTAAAAGCGCAAAAGATCAGAACCAAATAAAATGAATAACCATAATAACCTAAAAATCACACTAAAATTGCAAAAACTATTACTGTAAAATCATGAGATTACATCAATAATGCATATGCGTCGGAGTATCGCAAATGTCAAAAGTACAGTGTTTCCATGAAAATTTAGCTATGTTTTTAGCAGTATTATAGGACCATTTCTGCCACGCGCATCCAACAATATTGGCGTTCCACAGTTCACTGTATTTTCCTCACACCTCTAGTATAAATGATTTGACATAACGAAACTAACAATAATTATAATTAATGTAGAGTAATAAGTGATTCGTGAATTCTAAATAAAACAATTATTATATAAAAGTGTAAAAGGAAATGTAATTTATTTCCCTATTTTCTTCTGTAATATCTTCTTATTATGTTTAATTTCTATAAATAAACCAACTGGTTAGGTAAAACATTGTGATATAAGATTTTATTTATGTGTCCTATGCGTACACTTTAATATACTGGAACATTCTTTAAATAATTGTGGTCGTAGAAATAATTGTGTACATAACTCGTTTGAAAGTATATTTTATGCACTTGCCAAATATATTATCCATACAGATTAATCAGACTATTTTTTTACTTAACTTCAGTACATCTCTTACTACTAAAACTATTTTTATCAATGGAAAAAAAGGGCCGTGTTCCCGTATGTTTTGACGCATTTTCGGCCTCAGCCCATCGGATCCCCCCTCTAAATATACATGAATTTTGCTTAGAATTGCTAATCCTACAATTCTCTATTCGTGCTTGCTGACTGGGAAAATAAATACCGAAAATCGTCACTGTCTCTTGGACTATACAATAGATGATGATGAGAACTTCACAACAAATACACTTTTATGAATGGCTAGTTGGGGATGTGTGTAAAATCCACTACACCTTCCTGTCGGCGATGTAGTGTCTACTGGTGGATATTTACACTAGTGGACACTGCACCAATAGCAAACGAAAGAACCTATGGTAACACGTTGAAAAAGGTACTAGATTTTGCTTAGAGTGTACCAGATTCTTAGAAAATGTACTGGATCTAGTACAATTGTACTAGACTGGTAACACTGCCCGTGCCCTTCTGCTGTTGCTAAAATAGAGTGCGACCCTATCAATTCATTTTGCTGTGGTGTGAACCATGATTTGGATCGTTTGCTTCAAGGTAAAGGATAGTAACAAATAATAAAATTTATCTACAGTAGACTCGCTAGAAAATAATTGTGATTAGTGTAAAATCAGTGCAACTACTGTAAAACCGTAAAAATAAATCAGTCACATTATCAAACTTAATAACATACTTTTTGCTACAGCATTGTTATATTGTAAATTCTGAGGCGAATAGAACACACCCTCCTTTTTCCCTCTACCCGGCTTGCGCAAATGAAGATTCAGAATCTCTCTGGCTTTAGCAGTCAACAAGAAAAGCAAATCTACATCTTCTCCAATAACGAATACGGAGGAAAAAGAGGGAGCAAGTTCGATGGCAGTCTGCACAATTAATGAATCCGCGTCTTCGATAGCCTTCTTAACATTGTAATTATGTGCTTCCAACTTTACAGAAATGCGATGAGGCGCCTTTTGTTGAAGCTGTTCGATAAAAATTGTTCTTGCGATACAGTTGGAATCATGGATTCATCGAAGAGCATATCAGTGCTTCAGTGCTGCTTCGAGCGGCGATTTATTTCAGCAGATTTCGTACTTCTTTCTGTCCCACTTTCGGGATATCCATCAAAAGCAACAATTGTATTCGTCCCATAAGTGTAATATAGTTAATGTAATTTGCACAAATCATTGCAAATGAATTGTGACGCCCCCACACAACACGATCAAGCAAAATGCCACCGTCAACAACGTGTATACTTGTGTCAACTTCTATGACTGGTGTAACAGGCACATAAGATTTGTACAATGAAGATTTTGCCACCTTGCGCATACCTTCCTCAGTGAACACGTTGAAAGCGGAAAAGGCGCAATTTCGTACCGATCACCTCAAAGGTGGTGTGGAAACTAGTTGAAAATTATAATTTCGTATTATGTGTGCACAAAAAGAATAGGTCAACAATAATAAGGAAATATTGACTGTAGATTCTGATAATTACAAAATCTTCATATCGGAGTATGTAGGGGCGCCCTTCAAACATCATATCATTTATTATATACGACCAAATAGATGAAATCGGGCATGTGCAGACTCATAAATCATTACTCTGTTAGAAAAAAAAATATTACATAATTGTTTCATAGCGACCTTCGTCTTAATACGCACTGAAATTCTCATTTTGTTGAAAATTGCATATCAACCCCCTATTTTGGCGCGTCGTAGAGCGGGGACTATTGGTCGCAGACAAAAAAATGTAAAGATCAAAATTGTGCACGATTTTGTCCTGAACTTTTTTTCGATAGCACTTACCACAACGGCGCTATTTCCCGAAAAGCATCGCGACATAGAGTTTTCATCCCTCCGCCCCTCGAGCGGAAACTCCCCGAGGTCGCAAACTTAGGTGTAGTATCAGGGGACCCATATCTACAATCCCATCAAATTTCATTTCTTTCCGACCTTTTGCGAATACACCTTATTATTTACCCACCGCTTGGACTATATTCACTTTTGGTGTTATCAGTTTTTTTCGTTTTTTTTTAATTGTTTTTCATCGCCAATTATTGACTAGAACTACTATATACTATTTTCCTTGAAGTAAAACTAAAGTAAATATTTCTGTATATTTTATACTTATAATAATATAAAAATAATATTCTAAAAATTGACACTTTATAATAATTGTTTTTATCCGATAATTAATAAATTTCAAGTAATTAAATTAGATTATTACAATAATTTGATAACGCAAACAAATCAATAATTATTCTTATCAATACGAATGTTTAAATTAAATAATTCCGCTGTAGAGTGTGTTCAATAGATTTACACAAACTCTGAAGTAGGCCCTCATAATATGTATAAAGTTACGTAAGCGGAGTCATATGTCGCTAAAACAAAAACCGAGACTTACTTAGTCCCATGATTTACTTATCTGTTTTAAGTGAAACATTTTCTAATCGTCGAGATAAATTCGTGTAAAACATATTTATAAAATCATCGCCGATCCATAAAGATCATTTTAACGTTTTCTAGTCGACGACCGAGTGCTCCTGTTCCGAAATGAGTAAAACCTTGACCGTGGAAAATTTGAAAATCGTTTCGTTGGATGTGAAAGATGTGCGTTTTCCGACGTCTTTGCAAGCAGACGGATCTGATGCTATGGTAAGAATTTTTTAGCTCTTTAAAATGGCCTGTTTATTTTTTTTTTTTGTGAAAAATTGTGATACCTATTGATATTAAAATTAGAACAGTAAAATAAATATTAATCGAAATAGTTATACTATGCTGACAAGCTGACAATTATTATGAGAAGTTGTTGATGAGATATTCAACCTAATAATTGCCATACCGTCGTAAATGCCACAATGCCACCTGATGCTAGGGTTGCCACCTGTCCTTTTTTGAAGCAAAATGTCCTTGTGACTTTTGAAAGCTTAAAATGTCCTTTTGTACGGCAAATGTCTTTTTTACAACACATATTTTTGGAAGGGACATTGTTTGTACATATAAGCGAGGATTTTTTTTAGTAGATGCCCCGGAGCTCCTGACAGCATGGTAGTCCTTTATTCGCTTTTCAAAAAGGTGTGGCAACCCTACCTGATGCTAAAGTAAACATGATTTTCTAAAATAAGTACAGATTTAAAACAATACACATGCACTCAGCAATTAAATTTTTATTTTTATTTAACTATCTGCCACGACCAGTGAGGTAATAAGGGACGATAAAGTACGCCTCAGAGCTCCAATTTAGGCTCTCTATTTTTGTTAATATTTGCAAATGATCTCCCTCTACGTATTACATCAAACTGTCCCACGTATGTAGAAGATCTAAAAGTTTTTAAGAAAATATACACTCTAGAATATCTAGACCTTCAAAATGACTCAATTTCCGATTGGTCATTAGAAAATAAATTACTTTCCAAATACAAGGTACTTAGAATCAGTACAATTCGTAATCCTCAAAATTTTATCTACACAATGCAAGAGCACTAGGGAAAGTTTCAAATATTGCCGACTTGGGAATATTATTTCAAAATAATTTCAAATTTAATGATCATATCCATAATATTATCGAAGACGCTTACAAACTGATAGGATTTGAAACTTTATAGACACATACGCAATTAAAATAGTTATTTGTGTATCAAGGCCGTAAAGTTGATCTTTTTTGGTCGAATCATGAAGGACCACGCACTTTTCTTATGCAAACGGGGTACCGTCAAAATGTCTGAATTTTTGATGTGTTAAATTACTTGATGTCCCCATCAAAGTGTCCATGAGCCCAATCGTATCCTATGACTAGATTTTGAGATACAGGGTGAAGTTAAAAATCTCTAATTCTTTAAAATGGACACCATAAATCACCCTTAAATATTTTTGGAAGTTATTTGCTCATTTTGTGTAGTCAAAATACATACTTAATTACTATAATTAAAATATTGTCACTTACAGGGTGATTAATAATTCCGCAGATCCGTTTTAGTCAAAGTAGATGTTTTCACGAAACAAAATAGCTGAAAAACCGACAAAAAAAAATATCATCGTCAAAGTCTCTCAATATTTTATATTGTACAGTTTTTGATGTATTTGTTCGAAATTCTTATTGGTAAAATTAGATTCTATGACTAGTTATGTACCAAATATATGAATTTTAAACAATAAATATACTGACATAAGTAGATATGTTCCAGAGAAATACTGTATATTAAATATTTTGACACACTGTGTTGGATTAGAAATATACCACTTGAACTATATGAGGGCAGCCAAACATATTTCGTACTTACAGGGTGATTGCGGTTGAATATATAAGGTGAAAAAATTAAGAAAATGTTGAAATTGTTGGCAAAAATAGAAAATAATTGCCTTTTAACTTGCGAATTGTTTATCAAAAAAATCTTATTAGTTCACATACAGGGTCATACATTATTTCATTACAAAAAAGTTCATTATACGGTAGGTCTAAGTAGGATGATGGGAAATGAATATTGATTGGATTACATGTTTATTTTGACTGGAGCATTGCCTATTTATATTGTATATTTATATCAGATTGGGATCTCCTTTCCACGTCACCAATGAGGTAAAGCCCGAATACATTTTGTTTTAAGTTGTAGTTCCTGTAGAACTATTGCACTGCTTGTAGGTCAAAAATTACTAAAAAAAATAATTCTGGCTAGTGTTTTATGTTGTTTATACCCTATATAAATTATTAAAGAAAAAATAAAATATTTTATTTACAACCATATATGTAATGCTGTCATTTCTAACGTCATTGAAAGTTGGGAAGTGCCACATTACACGCCTACTTCCCGCCCTCATTTCATCTATTCTAGATGAATATTTTTTATATTTAAAAAAATAACACATTTTTTTGACAAATTTTATAATACCTATTTAATGACAAACAATAAAAAACAACAATTAACTAAAATACAACAAACTACTTATTGATATTTATTATTCGCGAATTTAATATCCGACTATCTGACATTTATTTATATTGGTCACAATTGTTTACCCCGTAATCACGGTAACAATATATTTACTTGCTTATTCTGAGAAAACCGCGCGCTTGGTAATTTGTCGTTAAATGTAATATTTTAGGTATGTTCAGAACGAAACAGAGATTTATTAACTTTGATCGAAATATGATGGTTGTAAATAAAATAGTAAACAAACTTCAGTGGGAAGTTTCATTCCTGTCTCGAGTAACTAATCTCACGACAGGAATGAAACTCTTCCCACCTCGGTGTGTAATATACTATAGCTGTGCCTTTAGGGGTGAGAAATTTAAAAAATTAAGCTTTGTGCAGCTCTTTGCTTGATTTAAAACTCAAGGGGTTTATGGCAGCTATAAGATAATAAAACCGGTTTTGAATGTTAAATCAACCCAGAACTCACCACGTGGAGGTGGCCGCACCTCGAGTTCCACCCACCCATTTATCTCAGTATATCTTACTAATTTATATAAGAGATCATTACATTTTTGGCAAGTCTTTTCTGGCATCAAGTTTTCACAAGACCCGATTCTATTTTCTCTTTTTAAACTATAAAAATATCAACAATTTCGTGAAAATTACAATAATCTGCTCGACTTATGTTAAATATTTGAACGACCAATAACATGAAAATACTATTTCTTATTTGAATATGTACCAATAAGTAGGTATGACTTTTATACTTCATTGTGTGTGTAACTATTACTCAATGGATTTCATAGAAAAAAACTCACAATGAATATAAAAATAACAAGACAGTTAAGAAGTGGATAATTTCCTAGATTTTTCTGCTCATTGACTACTTCATTCTGAGGATCCATTTAAATGTTTTTAATTTCTAAATGTAATTATTTTCTATTCTCTGGCAACAATTTCAACATTTTGTTGATTTTTTTATCTTACAATTCCAAATAGCACAAGGGTATATTCCTAATCTAACACAGTGTGTCAAAATATTTAATATAATATATTTCTCTTGAAGATATTTACTTCTCAGTATATATTTATTGTTTAAAATTCATTTATTTGATATCTATATACCAATAAGAATTTTGAACGAGTACATCGAGTGCTATACGATATCAATTATTAAGAGACTTTGACGATGATATTTTTTTTTCGGTATTTCAGCTATTTTTGTTCAGTGGAAATACATCTACTTTGACCAAGTAATTAATTATGCATTTTAACTACATAGAATAAGCGAATAACTTCAAAAATATTTAAGGGTGATTTATGGTGCCCATTTTAAAGAACTAGGGATTTCTAACTTAGTCATAAGATAGGATTGGACCCGTGGCACATACTTTGATTACTATACGAGGCAAGAGAGAGGTCCGACACGCCCAACATAGGGCGCGGCCATTTTGAACCCTGTGACACAGTTTACAGCTAAAGAATCAGATCGCTCACTCTGCGTCGGAACTTTGGATCTCAATGTTTCAGTTTATACACTGTGCAACTCGGATAATACAATATATGACAACCGCCTATAATAAAACAGCAGTCTTCTGCCTATCCTGAATTTGTATCCCTGGAGTGGATGTTATTTTGGAACTTTCAACTGGTTCGAGTGAGCTAACTGATTCTTTAGCAATAAACTGTCACTCCAAAAATAATATTCACTGACACTGACAGCAGCAAGCAAAATATCAGGTGCGTTTTAATCATCCGCTTCTGCTTCCGGAATTGTCGGTTCAGTCGTTCTAACCTGTCAGATTAAAACAAGAAAACCGACAATTCCGAAGGAGAAGCGGATGATTAAAACGCACCTATTAAAAATATTGCGCCAAGATAAGGGTTCAAAATGGCGGAGTTTTCTATCTCCTTTTAAAAGGCACTCAGAAAGCTGCGCAGTGCGACCATTTTCCGTATAGTAAAAGAAAATCAAAGTATGTGACCCGTGGACACTTTTGATATGGACATCAAGTAATTTAACACATCAAAATTTCAGACATTTTGACAGTACTTCCGTTTGCATAAGAAAAGTGCGTGGGTCCTTTGCGTCCGTGGGGTTAGTCGAGGCCAAGCAACTTCTGGTTAGGCCAAAAAAGATACTACGGCCGAGGTGCATACAACATTTTTTAGGCGACAGTCTGATCAAGTAAAGCCTGTATTTATGGGGTACTTACGCATACAACTTCATTTAAATTTTGGACCTTCTTTATATTTGATAAAAAACTGAATTTAAAACTGAAAAAACGTTCAGAAATGCACAAAAAAACATTCATTTTAAGATAACAAGTATTTATTTAATCCAATTTACGGTGAGCAATCTATTCAAAATAGGTGTATTTTTGATATCTTAATAAATGTCAAATACCTAGGTCAAAGTTCGCATAGGTACCTCTTTACTTTTTTTCTTCTTTAATGGACTATATTATCTTTATAATAAATTGAGTATAAATCTAATCTCAACAAGGTGCAAACGTATCGCACTTCATAAGTACCTATGTCTTATGTCTACAAAAAATGTTTTTCTAAACCATAATAGGCCTTGGAAAACTCACGTATGTTTGATTTATCGGTCATGGCCTACTTTAGAATAGTAGAATAGTAGTTTGTGAAACAAGAATGAATATGATGGACAATCCACTCAGTTATACAGAATATTTTTTCCACGGCCCATTAACGAAAATTTACAAATTAAAAAAATATTTT